CCCGCTATTTTAATTATTAATTTAACTTTAAATAGACCTAAATACTTATTAACTAATTTCTAACTAGGGCGCTACTTTTTAATATTCTTTTTTAATAATAATACTTAGTTACTTATTTTATATAATATATTTATTTTAGCTTTATTAACTTATTATTTATACGTTTTATATATTTTTTATATAAAAAGTCGTAGAGCTTTTTAATTAGTTCGTAATTAAGCTATACGCTCCTTAATTAAAATATTTTATATACTATTTCGAGTCCTTGTTAAGATTAATATAAGGTAAGTAAATAAGAACTTAAATAGGGCTTTAATAAGCGCTTTATAAATTATTAAATATTAAGTATTATTATATATAAACTTAGCTAAGTAAAAACGTTATACTTAATTTAATTAGTTTTAAATATAAAAATAATAAAAGTACTACTCTAAGTATTAGTTCTATTATTCTATTTAACTATCCGTTTATAAATAGAACGTAGTACTAAGATACCTCTTTATTATTAAAAAGTAATAAAAATAAGTTTAAAACTTATTTATAAATAACGAGCCCCTATTAAAAACGATCCCCTTAAGTATTTTAAATTTTATAAAAATCCTTATAAATAAGAAGTTTATAAATCCCTAGGCTATAAAGGTCGTCCTTATAATAATATAAACGTTATATTTTATAAATTAATTTATTATAATAAGTACTACGTTATAGGGACGCTTTTTAATTAATATAATTAATATAAATAAGCTTATAATAAAATCTAGCGATATTTTTTATTATAGCTTAACTAGGGTAAGTAGGGGGCGTAATAAGCTATATAGCTTATAATAATAAGGCTTCGTTTACTAATATATTATATAAGTATTAATATAACTTTTTATATCCTTATTTACTCTATTTTAATAATAATAGCGTTTTAGTAATACTATTATCCGTTTTATATTATAATATCTTATTATAAGCATATTATAATATACTTTAATAACCTCCCTCTTTAGCCCCTTATATAATAATATATAAACGTAGTTATTATAATATAATAGCCCTTTTAAGTTATATACTTAGCTTTATTATTATTTTTTTTAAACTAAATAAAGCCGTTAGTTTTTTTTAATTTATTACTTATCTCTTATAAAAACGTCCTTTTATTAAATAGCCCGTAATTAATTAATTATTAATAACCCCTTTTTATTAAATACTATTTTAAGTATTCTTATTATATTAGAGTTTTATAAAATAAGTAGCTTATAATTTATAGTTTTAATAATAAGCTTAAGTAGCTCCCTAAGTATTATATTATAATTTTAATACCCTAAGCTTATAGCCCTATTATACTTTTTAAAAAACTCCTTAGAGCTCCCTCGAGCTAGAGCTTTTAACTTCTTTTATTTATTTTTTTATACTATTATTAGTTTTATTTTTAAAATATTTATTATCTTTTTTATTTAAAAACCGCTCCTATAACTCGTTTTTATATACCTTATTATTATAACTCTAAAAGGCTCTTATATATTTTTAATATTATTTAAGTCTTTTTTTATTTTTAATAATAGTTCTTTTACTCCGTTATTATTATTATTTTTATTATAATTAGGTTTTTATAATAGTCTATTTACTAAGTTTTTAATACTTAGTTTAAACCTAATTTCGATATTAAATATTATAAGTTTATTTAGTTAGTATAGCTATTTCCTATTCGGCCTCTTTTTAGTATTTAAGAACTATAAATTAAAATAATTTATAAATATAATAACTTAATTTTAATTATAAACGAGGTATTATTATTAGTTTTTTAATATATTTATAATAGTTAATAACTCTATATTTTTTATACTATAATAGCTCTCTATATTTATTAATTTCCTTAACTTATAAATAATTAAGTACTAATTATTTTTAAATAATTACGTAATTATTAAGTTAATAGCTCGAGCTAAAGTATTAATTTATAATTACGTAGGTAAAATAGGGTCGAAGTATTATAATATTAGTATATTAATAAATACTATTAATAGCTTTTTAAATAATTTTATAATAAGTATTAGTAGTTCTAATTATCCTAACTTTACCTTTTTTAATAAGTTTATTAAAAATATAGTTATTTTAATATAGTTATTAATAAATTTATAATAAAACCCCGTAAATTTAAAGAACGTTTATATATTTTTAATACTCTTTAAAAATAGCTAATTTACTATAGTTTTAGTACGCGCGGGTTCTATTTTTATATTTTTATTAAATACGATATATTTTAAGAATCCTATATATAATATATAAAACTCGTATTTACCGCTATTTAAATATAAGTTTTATTATTATAATTTTTATAATATGCTATGTACGTATTTTTTATATACTACGTAATTATTATTATATATTAAAATATTATCTAAGTATATAATATAAATAATATTAACTAGGCTACTTAAAACGTTATTAATATACGCTTAGAAAGTTATAAGTATATTAATTAGCCCAAAAGGTATAACTAAGTACTCGAACTACCTGTATTTAGTACGAAAAGCCGTTTTTTACTTATTACCCTTAGCTATATATATATAGTAATATACGTTTTTAAAGTCTAGCTTTATAAAAACGGAGGTATTAAATAGTCTATTTAGTATTTTTTTAATTAATAATAGCGGCGTTCTATTTTTTTATATAATTTTATTAATTACTCTATAATTAACGTAAAGTCGTAGTTCTCTTCTCTTTTTAAATACGAAAAAGATAAGTACTCTAGTTAGGTTTATAAAAGGGTATATCTAGCCCCTAGCTTTTTTTTTATTAAATAGTTTTATAAAATCTCGAGCTTATAGTTCGATAATAAGTAAATAGGTCCTTATAAAATAAATATAGCGTCGTTTAGTTTAATATAATAATTATATAATACTTTATTTAATAATAAAATAGCCTTTTTTTTAAAAATAAGTTATTAAAATCTTAGTATTATAACTTTTAATCCTTAACTATGCTTATTAATATTACGTTACTATTTATAACTAAGTTAATTATAATATACGCGAGTATTATTAAAACTAAGTTGTTTAGTAGCCCTTTTTTTAGAGTATTTAAGTAAATATATTATTCGTAAATTAAATATTACTACTTTTTTTATTTCTAACTAATTAGTAAGTTAACGTCCTCTAACTAAAAAAAACTAAAAATAAGTATTAGTATTATAATATTAATTATTATAAAGTAATATAGCTATATCTTTATTATATTATTATTATTAATAATTTAAAGCCGTAAGTAGTAGCTCCTTAGCGTCTCTATTTATTTACTCTTAACGTTTATTAGTTATAATAATAAATAAATTCGTAAATTAGTATTAAAGTTATTAAATAGCCTAATACTAACTACGTTCCCTTCTATTCCTAAATTAATAAAGGTACTTAGCTTCTTTTATATATAGTTTAAATATATATAAGTTAGGATATTTAAGTACTACTTTTATTAATTACTAACTACCTTTTTTATTAAAATAATATTTAAGCTCGTTATTAATCTATGCTATTTAATTAGAGCGAGGTTTAATTAATAACTAGCGGCCTTATACCCCTTTTAATTATATTTATAATATATAATACTAAAGTAGCTATTATAGCTAGCTAGTTATAGTAAGTATATTAATAAAAGTTAAAGCTATAAGTACTAAATAAATAGTATTATAGTTATAAATAGCTTTTTTAAAACTATATTTATAAGTTATAATATAAATAAAGCTTCGGTAATTAATTATAGTTTTATTAAAAAGGGTTTTTAATAAAAATAATTAAAAGTAATTATAAGATTTAATATTAAATTAATTACTAAAAAAGCTATAAGAAATTTATTTTTAAACCTAGCTTAAGTTTATATTATATATAAGTCTCGTTTTTAAATATATCCTTTATAGTATTCTTATTTATTATTATTTAACTATTTACTAAATAATTATCTATTTTACTTATTTATAATTATTTATTTTACTTATTTATAAGCGTCCGTTTTTTATTTTATTATATAATCGTAGTTACGTAACTTATTTATAGTTCTTCTATCTTAAGAAGAGTTACTTTAAGTTCGTTTTTTTATATATATAGTATAATAATTACTATAGGTCTTATAGGGCGAGGCCCTAGTTTTATTATACGTATTAAGTTATAATATTAGCTTTTTTTTTAAAAAATCTAGTCTTTTAAGCTTATAAATAAGTCGTTTATTTTTAAATTAGGGAATCGTTAAGTATTTTTTTAAAATATACTAATATGATATTAAGTTAAATTAAAAAATCGAAGTTTTAAATAGTTATATCTTATTATAAATTATTATATATTATTCGTTTTTTTAATAAGGGTATTAAAATAATACTTTATTTAAATTATTGCTTGCGGGGTATTTATTATTTAGTTTTTTTTAATTTTAATATTTATAAAATATATTATTATTTAAGTATTTTATATAATACTTTTACTAATACTATTTATATTTATAAGTATTATAGTTTTATTTTATTAAATCTAGCTAATTAAATATAGTTAATTAATTAGTAATAAAGTTTAATTATTTTAATTATAAAGAAGAGGTAAAAAAGTTACGGTTTTATAAAAGAGCTACGGAATTATAAAAAAAAGCTAAGGCTTATTAATAAGCTTAAGTTAAGTTAAACGAGTTGTTATTTAAATTAGAACGTTTTTATTTTTAAAAACGAATAGTATTTAAAAAGAGTTAAGTTATATTAGAGGAGTTTTTTAAAGATTTTAAAAATACTTTTTTAGCGGCCCGGGAGGTATAAGCTAATAGTATTTTTAAAGTTATTAATTAGGACGCTATAATAACTAAGAGTTTTAGTTTTAATTTTAATTTTAATATTTCTTAAAAAGTTATTAAGAATTTTAGAAGTTTATAATAGGTTCTTATATATTTTCTTTATATTTATAATCTTTTTATTTAATTAAGAACTCCCGCGTCTTATTTTTAACTTTATAATTAATAATTTATTTAACTTTATATTTTAGTTAGTTTAGTTTAATAATAATATAATTTTCTATATATAAACTTTTAAATATAAGCTTAAGTAATAAAATATAAAAAGTAGGATAGTATCGTATCATATTTAATAATCTTAATTCGTAATTAATTAGTAAGACTTTTTTAATAATTTCAAAAAGTCTAAGTTTTTTATAATCTAATTTATTACTTAGTTACTTTATTTTAATATTATAATAAAAAAGATAAGTACTATCCCCCTTTTTTAAAAATAGTTTTTTAATTTTTAATTTATTTATATTCTTTTTTATATATTATTATATAAATTCGAGGTTTAGTAAGGCTTATTTATAAATCTTTTTAAGTTTACTTACGTTTATTATAGCTTTTATAGCTTATAGTCCTTATTATACTTTTTTATATATTATTAGCTAGAATTTATAGTTAAAATAAAATAGTAATTTTTTTATATTTTTACTAATTATATTATTATATACGAACTAGGTTATTAATAAAAGTACTACTTAATTATCCTAGTTATAGTTTATATAATAATAAAGGTATATTTTGAGAATTTAGTTAATCCTTTTTTTTTATTTATTAGTTTATAAATAAAATAATATTAATAATTTATAGTTTATACTAAGTTACAAAATTAGGGATTTTTAAAACTTTAAAATAAATAACTTATTTCTATTAAAAATAATTTCTTTTAGTAAACCGTAGTTTAAAAGTATAACTTTAGTAAATATATATACTAGGTTTTTTATAGTATTTAATTTTTTATAGGGAATAAAGTAGGTAAACTTAGTAAGTTAATTAACTATAACTAAGATACTATTATATTATATTTTAGTAAATAGTTCTTTAAACTTTAGTAATTTAATAATAAAGTTTTATATAATTAATTACTATGTTTTTATTAGTAATTATAATAGTTATAGTTTATTATAAGGCTTATGCGGGCTATTTTTATTTTTTTTATAAGTTACGTAGTCCTTAATTACCTCTATAATTTTAATACATATAATAAATTTATTATAATACTAACGAATCCGTTTTTATATTTTAGTAACTCCTTAGTAACCGTATACTAATATATTATAAATTTTATAATAAGCTTAGGGGTTATTTTTTTAATTGGGCTAATATTAATCTTTTTAGCTATTATAAAAAGTTTTATAGTTAGTATAAAGCTATTATCCTTTTTTTATTTAGAAAATAATTTATATTTCTTTAGGGACTACGACTTTATAGTTAGGTCTTTTATTAAGAGCGTCTGCTCTACTATTTTCTAAACTTTTTTAATAAATAATTCGGAAATTATATTTAAATAGGAATTCGCTCTATTTAACTTATTATTTATTTAAGTTCTTATTTATTATAAAATTTATAAAGTTCTTATAGTTTATATAGACTATTATTTTATACTTAGTTTTAAATAACTATAGTCTTTATTCTTAAAATACTTTAATAATTATTATTAGTTCTTTATTATAAATTTACTAATTTAATTCTATTTTATAAAATATTTTAAAATAGAAGTAATATAAATAAAGCTTTTTTTATTTATTTTATTATTTTAAAACTGCTCTTATAGTAAAGTTTAAAGTATCGGTTTTAATTTTAAAAAGTTTTTAAGGGTCTAGGATTATAATAACTAGTTCGGAAATAACTATATTTTTAATTTTAATAAATACTTTTTTATATTTAAAATCTTAAATAAACGGAGTATCCTTTTATATTAAGTTATTAAGAAGTCTAATTATATTAATATAGTTTTTAAAGAATCGTTAGTAAAAGTTAATAAATCTTAAAAATCTTTATATGTTTTTAACGTTTTATAATATAAGCTAGTCCCTAACTATTTTTATTTTTAATACTTATATATAAATTTATCTTAATATAATAGTATATTTAAAAAAGTTTATTTTTTATATATAGAACTCGTATTTAAAAACTTTAGTATATAGTTTAGTATTTTAGAGTTTTTAAAATACTATATAAATATACTTTTTATATATTTCGAAGTTAGGGGAAAAAATAAGAATATTATTAATATAAATAATAATAAAAATATTAACGTACTCTTAGAGTACGTAATTAATTATTATTTAAAAAGTTATTAAAGTATTAGTAAGTCCGAAGGGTATAATAAGGTACTGAAAAGGTTTTTACGAGTTTAGAATACTATTTTTTACTTATCTCCTTTTTTAATTCGAATTTAGTTAAATACTTATTTAAGATTTATAATAATAAACTAATTAGCTCTATAAAATAAATTTCTAAGCTTAGTAATAAATAATAAGGGGTAATAATTCTTTTTTATAATTTTATTAAGTTTTTTATAGTTAATAATAGGTCTTAATATTTTACCCTTTTTTAATATAAAAAATAAGGGGAATCCTATAGGAGAGTTTAATAGTTAAATATATTTCTTTTTAAATTTCTCGTCGATATATTTGTTAAGATACTCTTATTTTTTTTAATTTATTAAGTATATTAAATAGAACTTAAGTTATATTTTTTTTTTAAGTTCGATTTTTATATCTTAATTATTATATTCTAGTAATCCTATTTTTTTAGGTTTTATAAATAATTTTATATATATCCGGTATTTTTTAAGTATAGTTTAAAATCGTTATAATTCTTAATCGTTAGTACTAATTACGAACTTTTTAGAGCTTTTTACTGTTTTAATAAAAGTTATATATCGTATTTATTTTCGTTTTTTAAGAGCTACTAAAAATCTATTTAAACCCTTTTTCTTTTAAGTTATTTAGTAACTAGATTTTTCAAAGAACCTAGTTAGTAATTTAATTTATCTATAAGTTATATTTTCGTAATTACGAGATTTTTAAAATAATATCAATATTTTTAATTTCTATAATATTATATTATAGTTATTTTTATTAGTTATTAATATATATTAAGAGGTATATGGTTTTTTAATTAATATATCCGTAGTTATAATTAACTTATTCTCTTTTTATTATTTATAGTTAGTATAAGTTATTTTTTTATACTTATAATAAGTTAAGTTCGTTTATTATTTTTAATAAAATATAGGTTTTTTATACGCTACTATTAATAATAGCGTTTAATCCTTGTTTATAAATATTAAGGTTAACTCGTAAGTATACGTTATTACGTTATTAAGTTATATATAAGAATCTTTTTTTATTTTTATTTTTTATTATTTTTTTATAATTAGCTTTTTTAGTTTTTTAATATACGCTTTTTTTATTAAGTACTTTACTCGCGTAGTTCTTATTATTCTTTTTATACTTTAGCTTTTTTAATATAATAAATTTAATATTAGTCGTATTTATAATTTTCTTATTTTATATATTCGCTATTAAAATACTTTATAAAAAAGCTAGGGTTTAAGCTAAATATTACTTTATTATTATTATTAAGACTTAGTAACGTCTAACTAAATAATTAATTTTTTATATAAATATCTTTAATAAGTTTATTATTACGTCTTTATAAATAAAAATAACTATTTTATTTATATACGAAATATTAAAGGTACTTATTATTTAAGTACTTTATTTTAAATAATTCTTTATAAAAGAGGTCCTCGGGGTTAAATAAAGAGTAGTTTTTATTTATATAGGGGGTTGTTATAACTTTTTTATATTTTTTAGTTCTATAGAACTAAATAGTTTAATCGTCTTTAAATAAGTAAATATATTTATATTATAATTTATTATTATCCTTTTTAAAACTAATATTATTAATACTAAGTAGTATTTTATAATTAAGTTTTATTTAAGTACGTTATTAAGTAACGTCGTAAAGTTTATTTAAGTTATAGGGTAATTTTATTTTATTAAAATAAAAAGAACTAGTTTTTATTTTAATATTTTTTTTTTTAAAATTAAAGTTAATCTTCCTTTTTTTTATAACTCCGAAATTAAGAATCGGTTTTTTAAGTATTTTAATTTTATTTTTATATACGAGGTCTTTAAGTTATTTTTTAACTTTATAAATAAATTTTTTATTATTATTTATTTTTTATATTATATAAATAGATTTAGTTAGAAACTTATTTAAATTAAGTCCTTTTTTAAACTTAGTAAATTATTTTTAATTTATATAGTTTTATTGTACTATATAAACGAGGTTATTTATAATTTTTTTAGTATTAGGTCCTTTTTTTTTAAATTTAAAGAGTTACTTTTTTATATTAGCTAGGAGTTTTTACTTAATCCGTCTTTTAAAAAAGTAAAGTATATCTTTTATAATAGGGTCTATTTTAGCTTTTTTTTTTATATTTTTATAAATTTAAAAGAGCGTAGTAATATATTTAATATTATTTTTTTTAAGAGTATAGGGTCGGTAAGTAAGTATCTTTTATTTATTACTATTACTAAGGTTTTAATAAATAGTATAGTATTATACCCGGATTATCCCTTATTTTTAAGTTATTTTAAGTATTATTTTATTTATTTTTTACTATTTTAATAAACGAAATAGCTATTATTATAATAAGCTATTTATAAGAGTTATTTATAGAGGATTTCTTTATTTATAATATTAGCTCGCTTTTTTAAAATAAGTTAGTATTAGATATACTTAGGTTATTAGTAATTTCTAGTTATATATCTTAGTTTATTATAATTATAATACTTAAAGTCCTTTTTTTAGTAAGGTTATTTTTTCTTAGTAATACTAAGGTTTATTAGTCCGCTATAATACCCTATTATAGTGGTCGTTAGCTTATACTTGTGCTTATTATTAAGTTTAGCTTAGTTATTTTAGGTATTCTACCCTTTTTGTTTAAAGTATTATTCGTAAAGTCGATTATCGATTTTAATTATTATATTAATATAATTATAGAGTTTATTAGGCCGGTTTTATTAAGAGAGGTCGTTTTTAATTTCTTTTTTTAAGCTGTAATAAAAGGCTACTATAAGTACTTTATTATTTTAATTAAGTTTAGAAATAATTTATTTAAACTTAGATACGTACTTACTAGTTAACCCCTTTTATATAAGGGTTATAAGTTTTTATTTAGTAATTCGTTCTTTATCGGGGTTATTAAAGGTTTTTTTAAGTTTTTTTTTAAACTTATTATAATTATTAAAAATCTTCTTAGTATTTTTATCCTAGATAT